TGTATTCATTGGGTCGGGTGGGTCTGGGAACCAGAGCCCGCCACAAGAAAGTTTTTTGAAATGCTATCAACTTCCTCTCCTCTGGCCGGAAAATCATGCTTGCCAACATCATTCCCCACTGCCTGGCGGTGCTTCGACGACGCCACCACCCCCTCCTCCAAACTATGCGGCTGCGCCAGCGCACGTCTCCCTGGCCATCGTCCGAAGAGGCACTAACTTCCTCATCGACGACCCTCCCCGCCTGCTGCCGTATCACACCCGATCCCACCTCCGCCGATTCTCCTAGCGGCGGCAGAAGCCAAGAAGCCCCAACAGGACTCGGTCCACGCTGTTGTGCAGGCTCCATACATGTAAAATTTTGACACCCGAAACCCTAGCCTTCACACAGAACTTATCGAGGTGTCCCATCATCCCGCAGCAGAAACAGAAATTATGTAGGCGCTCATATTTCAGGTTCACCCATCCCCAGGTTTTATCACGCCGTATGAGTTTCATACGCTGTTTTAGCGGCTTGTCAATAGGAATTTCTACTCGTATACGGTAGAAAGTCTTCCACGGACCCCCAACTTTGCGATCATCACTACGAATAAACATCCCCAGAAAGTTACCAACCTGCTTAAGAACCACGTTAGATGTATATCCCATGGGCAGATCATACACCTGTACCCACATATCAACCGTATCCAATTTAACCTCCCCTGGGAGGAAGCCATCGTGAACCTGTCGACACACTAGCGTATGGTTGTCAATAGCCCACGGTCCTTCGTCCAAGACACGTCTCATGTCCATCTCATGGTAGAAGGCAAAGAGGAACAAATTTGAGTGAAACTCCGTTACCCTCATCCCCATGACCGGCTGGAACACCGAAGCCATAACCTGCCGCATGTACTCCACTTTGATAAGCTTCGCCGTCAAGAAACGGCCCACAACGGAGAACACCCGCCCCTCTGCGCCTGGCGCCGGCTCAAAGTCGGCTTCGGCCTCAACCCCAAGCTCCCCTTCTTCGAGCGCCATATCAGCCCAACGCTCCGCCAACCTCTCCATTCCACCTGCTTGATGTTGTGACTCCGTCCCTGCCATTGCAAACAGAAGCAGCGCTGGTCGTCGTCGGATATTGTGTTGTTACCGTAGGTGGATTAGCGAAACCCTAGAAGGGAGGAAGCGAAGGAAAACCCTAACTAGGGAGAGAATTAGTTAATGAGTAAGTTAATAAACTTCAAATAGCATATAATTACAAAAAAATTATGAAATCGATGCAAGTACACCATATCTAGTGGAATTTGAAATATTATATGTTGGGATTATATAACTCTTTTCTTTGAGTCAACAACTCACAATATGTGTTTGTTATTTGAGTTAATTACTGAAATGGTCCATTGACTATGGCGAAATTAACGATTTGGTCATTGACTAATTTTTTTTGACTAATTAAGTCTCTCAACTTCAAAAATCTTAACCAATTTGGTCCTCCATTTGTTTTGTCGTTAGACATCCACTAACTCGGGACCAAATTGGTACTTTTGCTATAGTCACGGGACCATTTTGGCCATCACATGCATCATTTTCACCGAAAATTTAATTACTAAAATGAGTTAATACCCAAAATCGTCCTCGACTATAGTGGTTTTTCTCAATTTCGTCCTAAACGACTTTGGTGACCTAATATCGTCCCAGACTTTTGTGTTTCGCGCAATTTAGTCCCAGACTTTTGTGCTTTTGCTCAATTTAGTTCATCATTTGTTTTTCTGTCCATTTGGTGTTAAATAAATAGACAATTAAGTAATTTTAATATTGGCATCTCTTTTGTAACACCCCAGATTTTCGAGACATTTAAAACTTATAAAATAAAGGTATTATCTCATTAAATCCCAAAACATAATACAAGTGTACGGGGTGCTATGCCACACCTGAGCTGGAGAACCCAGGTGCACAGGCTAACTAACTAATATCCTCAATAAATAATATGGCACGCAGGCCGAAAGGGGACTAACTACTTCTACGTTCCGAGTACTAGCGCCCTCCAGTGACTTATTCTTCTGTGCCTGAAAGCCAAATATATCTGTTCAGCGAGAGATGCTGGTAACCCACTCCAACGCGTTGAAATACAATACATATAGAGATATATATAGATATACGAAAACCATTTTGAGCATGAAGATAGATCCTACGAACTCTAGCTTTAAAATCGGGAATGACTCGACAGATAAGGCCAGACACAAGCAACAGTTATAACGAGCATATGCAGTTCACAACAGATAAGGCAGATAAGGCAAAGCATAACAATAATCATAACCCAACATGAACAATCCCCAATATAAATCCCATAGTCACATCCCCCAAGACACTCATAATCACCACTCATCCATATCACAACATATAACACACTTTGTTGGCGCCACAGGACCAATCGCATGCCTATACATGAGGGTCAGCGCATATAGCTCTGACACGGCCCCGCAGCACCCTGCCCCGTATCGCAACACGAAGGGGTCGATCGCAACCGACCGATGAACCGCAGCTCATCATAATGTTTGATCGCAACCAAACAGTGGACCGCAGCCCAAGAGAGTGTGTTATCTGACTGTAGCCAGGAATTCCCATCTGACTACAGCCAGCCTCTGAACCGCAGCTCAGGAAAGATGTCACCTGATTGCAGCCAGGAATTCCCATCTGACTACAACCAGCTTCTGGACCGCAGCCCAGGATACCGTCATCCGACTACAGCCAGGAATTCCCATCTGACCATAGCCGGCTTCTGAACCGCAGCTCAGGATAACCAATCCGATCGCAACCGAATTGGGGTAACACGCACACATAACACATAGCAAGCACATGCAACCCATATTACACCTTGGGAAGGGGGATAAAACGTATAACAAAACCTATGCGTGATCCATCACTTACTAAGAATAGTCCTAAGGGGTTCATACTTCTTCCACCTAGGTCAACGGGATACCAATTCAACTAGCATGCAATATAGTAGACTCATAAACCTACGAACGGTACCCGAAATATCAAACTAGACATAGGCACGATAAACGGAGTCCGTTGGGACACCACGGGGATCGGGGAAACATCAAACGGGGAAGCCGGGGTCCCGAGGGGGGGAATTTCCAGCGGGTAGCCGGTGGGTGGGGGTCCACCCGCCGGGCAATACTGTTCCGGGCAGCGGGTCGCCGGCGGGCAGCTGCCCGCCCGCCTGCTGCCCGCTGCCGGAACAGTGTTCCCGGCCGTGGGTAGGTGGCGGGTCCCCTACCCCCCCACCTACCCCCCACTGACTCTTTCATCAAATTTTCGTCCCGGGAACCGTTGTGGAACCCGAAACCATGCTTAGACACTTTTCAACGTAATCCACGACAACACATAGACAATTAACAGATCAAATACGATAAACGAACGGCACATAACCTATCATGCTTTTCTAATCATAATCAACACCCAAACATGCGATTTCCCCACCCGATAATCCAAGAATAATATCATACGATACAACCTAGGGTTCTAATCACTTTTATATCAACAAGAATACAATTCGTCTTCTAATTGCAAGATTCGGTAGGAACAACACATAATCATCAAGGATACCAATTAATCATCAAAAACATCATAATCATCAAGAACAACACATAATCATCAAAACCCCAATTAATCATCAAGAACATCATAATTATCAAGAAACTCCCAATATCAAGATTATCAAGATTCCTCACGGAATCATTATATCGACATCAATAATAATCATCATCAATCGCCATTTACAACAATATGGGGGAAACCCTAAGGGGAAATCATAGCTATGAAAATAGGTTTTGTTGAGACATGGGTTACCTCTTAGCCCTAATTAATTCCTTGGCTATGAAGGATCTTTCTTTAAGCTTTCTTGCTTTCTTGATTTCTTCTAAGGGAATTCTTGGAGCTCTCCTGGGGTGATGGGGCGTCTAGGCGTGTGGGGGGGGGGGGGGGGGGGGGGGGGTTCCGGGTGTCTTCTAAGTCCCCTATTTATATATTTAAGACTCCTAATTAGGGTCTGAATGGTATGGGTTTACTAATCATGTTCCTTATAGAACTCAGGGACTTGCTTTTGGGATAAGGTTCCATATTAATTAAAGCGGATCCTAATCACAATCTGAATAGTAAAAGGCCTACTTCCTTTATTCCTAATAGATAACTAGGTCTAGGATTCCCAATTAGGATCTAAATAGTAAAAGGTTTACTATCTTTGTTCCTAATAGGCTTAAGCCTCTAATTTAGGCAAGGGTCCACGGTTCATGGTGGACCCTATTAATTAATTAAATGGGAACTTAACATAATTAATCATATTTAATTATTATTAGCGGGATTAATTAAATAATTAATCTAGGATTAAAGGCCGTAACACGGGGTGTTACATCTTTACTCATAGACATGTGAACTGCGAAATCCCTTTTTTTTTTTACGAATTACTCCCAGAATTACTCCTAAAACTGCGAATATAAAATTTGATTTGCAGGTCCGGGAGTAATTCTGGGTGTAATTCGTACAAGAAAGAGGAATTTCGCACTTCACAAGTTGAAAGTAAAGAGAGATCAATATTGACATTACTGAATTGTCCCTTTATTTAACACCAATTTGACGGAATAACAAATGGAGGACGAAATTGAGCGAAACACAAAAGTCTGGGACGATATTAGGTCACCAAAGTTGTTTAGGACGAAATTGAAAAAAACCACTATAGTCGAGGACGCTTTTGGGTATTAACTCTTACTAAAATAGTCATTTGACTATAGCGAAATTACCAATATGATCCCGAGTTAACGGATGTCTAACGGAAAAACAAACGAAAGATCAAATTAGTTAAGATTTTTAAAGTTGAGGGACTTGATTGACCAAAAAAATTGTCAAGGGACCAAATTGGTAATTTCGCTATAATCAAATGACTATTTTAGTAATTAACTCTTTTTAATTTTCTTTTTAATTTAGGATTTCTGATCAATTTGACTAATCTCATTCATCTCATGCAGGAAATGAAGAACATTACCCATTTGGATCTTACATCTTGTAGCTCTTTGTTAGAAACTCCAAATTTTGCTATGATGCCTAATTTGAAGTACTTAAACCTTTCAAAGTGTGAGAAATTGAAAGAGATCCATCCATCAGTTGAAAATCTTACGAAACTTGAAGTCTTTTATTTGGATGGATGTAGTAACCTTAGAAGCTTCCCATCTTTGATCAGGTATCATATCAATAGAATCTCAAACTTTAAATTGCATAACATTACAAAATATTTAAAAAAAATGGCAAGTACACTATATCTAGTGAAGTTGGATATATTATATGTTGGGATTATAGAACTTCGTTAATCAATGCAACAACTTTACAATATGTGTTTGTTATTTTAAAAAAGTTTTTAAATTAAGAGTTCTAATCAGTTTGACTAATCTTATTCGTCTCATGTAGGAAATGAAGAATATTATCCATTTCGATCTTACAACTTGTAGCCCCTTGTTAAAAACTCCAATTGTGATAAATTGAAAGAGATCAACCCATTAGTCGGAAATCTTACGAAACTTGATGTCTTAGATTTGGATGGACAGCAACCTTAAGAAGTTTCCCGGCAAATTATGTTGTGCTTCATATCCGTATGCACCCTGCATGGTGCATACAGATGGAAAAACGACGTCGTTTTGCATAAAACATGCGCCCTACTTTAAAAAAAAAATCAGTTTCGATTCCTAGCAACAACATTATGTTATTCATTTTTAGTTCATTCATTTTGAATTTTTTAGTTATGAAATTCTGGAAGTGTAGTTATGCAATTCTGGAAGTGTAGTTCTGCAATTCTGGATGTGTAGTTATGCAATTCTAGAAGTGTAGTTATGCAATTTTGGAAGTATAGTTATGAAATTATGGATGTGTAGTTATGCAATTCTGATTTTTTTTTTTAAGTTAGACATCAAAACAACGTCGATTTTGCATCCGTATGCACCTGCATGGTGCATACGAATGCACAGCATAACGCTCCGATGTTTCCCAGCATTGACCATGTATCATATCTCTAAATCTCAAACTTCTAATTGCATACATTACAAAACATTTCAGAAATCAAGGTAAGGATTCCATATGTAATGAAGTAAGATATATTATATGTTGGGGTTATAGAATTTCCCTCATCTACTCAATAACTCTGTAATATGCGTTATTTTTAAAAAAATTTGTTTTTTTGTTTGTTTGTTTTTTTTTTTTTTTTTTTTAAATTGAGAGTTCAGATCCATTTCACTATTCTTAGTCTTCTCATTTAAGAAATGAAGAACATTACCCATTTAGATCTTACTTCTTTCAGCTTTTTGTTCGAAACTCCAAATTTTGCTGTAATGCAAAATTTGGAGTATTTATACATTTCAAACTTTGAGAAATTGAAAGAGATCCACTCTTATGTTTGAAATTGTATGGAACTTGTTGACTTGCATTTGAAAAAATTTAGTAATGTTGAGAACATTCCCAGGGAACGTTATGTTGTGGAACCGTGCCCAACTTGCAAGGTGGGTACGGTTCTAGATTCATAATTTCTATACAGTAGATTCATAATTTTAAAACTGTAGATTCATAATTTCTATACCGTAGATTCATAATTTCTATACAGTAGATTCATCATTTCTATACAGTAGATTTATAATTTCTATACTGCAGATTCATAATATTTGTACTGTAGATTCATAATTTCTAAACTATATAGTTATCAAATTATGAACATATAGTTTTGTGATTTGTGAATACAGAGTTCAGCAATTGGGATTATAGAAAATTATGAACATATAGCTCAATAATTATGAACATATATTTATAAAATTATGAACATATAGCTCTATCACATGTTCACAAACCTAATACTGTAGATTCATAATTTCTATATTGTAGATTCATAATTTCTACACTGTAGATTCATACTAAAGACGAAACAATGCGATTGCGAAGAGAAAAACGCTGTTAACGTTAAGTGAAAAGCAATTTATTTTTTTTTACATACAGAAATTATGAATCTACAGTATAAAAATTATGAATTAGAATTGTGCCCACCTTGCAAGATGGGCACGTCTCCATAGCATAATTTGCCGCTTCCCAGCTTTAAATATGTATCACTTCACCAGAATCTCACGCTTTAAAATTACTTAAAATTACAAAGCATTTCAATAATCCAGGGAAGTCCACCACATATTGTGGAGTTGGATTTATTATAGCAAAATTGATTGAAATTGTTTTTTTTTTTTCTTTTCTTAACACTGGACAAAAATAGGGAGTTTTTCAAATTTGGACTATTCTTGGAAAAACTAAAATGGAACTTTTGTTTACCAAACTAGAAATGTAAGTCCCACTTGTGTTTTCGTCATGTATTTGTATATATCAAATGTAGGAAAAAATGAACCAAGTCGATTTAATCACAAATTAATATTTACATATATCCACACGAATATATATATATATATATATATATATATATATATATATATATATATATATATACATATATATATATATACATATATATATACATACATATATATATATATATATATATATATATATAGGGAAGGGATCAGGTGCATTTGTTGCTTCCCGTGCGGTTGTGCGGTGGATTAATGTGCGTGAGGTTTATACTTAATGTGCGTGAGTGTTATGCTCAATATGTTTGAGATTTGTACTTAATGTGCGTCATGTTAATATGCGTGAGTTTTGTACTTAATGTGCCAGAGTATTGTGCTTAATGTGCGTGAGTAATAAGAGAATTTTCAACAATCTGGAATTGAAGCAAACAACAGAAGTTCCAGATTCTCGCACCAAGATCGGTCTGCATAGACCATTGATAAGGATAAAATTTGTGTATTCACTTTGGGAAGCTTTTATTTCATTGTAAACATCAGTAAAGCAGAGCAACACACTATTATATGTCGTTATTGAAACTTGAAGATTCAAATCTTTCATCTTGGATAGAACAAAAAGAGCATCAGCAACCATCTCAGATGTCGAATAAGTACAGGCCAGCATATTCCATACCACATTATGAGCAACCCAATAATCGAAGTTATTCTGAAGCAACTCAAGAGTGCAGGTACTGGGGATGGGGAATAAGCTGATATCCATATTTTCTGCTGCATTTTACACATTCACGCACATTAAGTACAAATCCCAGGCACATTAGACACAACACTCACGCACATTGAGTACAAATCTCACGCACATTAATAACTGCACAACCGCCCGGGAAGCATTCAACCGCACGAGAACCTTTCACTATATATATATATATATATATATATATATATATATATATATATATATATATATATATATATATATATATATATATATATATATATATATATATATATATATATATATATATATATATATATATATATATGGTCGTGTTCAGGTGCGAATAAGTGCCCAGGAGAGAAATGTGAACCAATCAGCGCGCGCCACGTGTCAGCATTCATTGATTGGGTGCATCTACTTTCACCTACAAGTGCACCTACTTTCGTTTGCAAGTGCATGTAGTTTTTTTCTGCATTCATTGATCGGCGCGCACCACGTGTCAGCATTTATTGATTGGGTGCACCTACTTTCACCTACAAGTGCACCTACTTTCGTTTGCAAGTGCATGTAGTTTTTGTCTGCATTCATTTGTCAACATTCATTGATTGGGTGCACCTACTTTCACCTACAAGTGCACCTACTTTCGTCTGCAAGTGCATGTAGTTTTTGTCTGCATTCATTGATCGGGTGCACCTACTTTCACCTGCAAGTGCATGTAATTTTACCTTGTTAACATTCATTGATCTGAGTTCAGTGGGTAGTAATACCGCTGAAAACCACCCGCAAACATTCATGCACCTAGGTGCAACTAGTTATAACTATTGGTGGAACTACTTATAACTATAGGTGCACTTAGTATTGATGCTCAGTGTAAATTTTAATTGCACATATAATACATTTTACATGCACTTGTAATACATTTTATTTGCACTTCGATGTTCAATTATTTACGAAAATGCCACCATGTTTTTTTTTTTTAAATCAGTGTTTCTCATCCATTAGATCTGGACACGTGGACGGATATCATGTATTCGCATATTCGCACCTGGGCGCTCCATTCGCACCAGAGTGCAATTATATATATATATATATATATATATATATATATATATATATATATATATATATATATATATATATATATATATATATATATATATATATATATATATATATTAACCAAAATGTAATTTATAATCCTCCAGATTATAATCCAACCAACAACTATATAGAAAAAGGATTTAATGCTTAGAGCATAATCCCAAGAACCGAAAGAAACGAAGATGAAGGAAAGATGGTTAGTACGAGTCGAGCGAAACACTCTTCCCTTAAAACCTTATTTGGTGCCTCCCAAAAGTGTTTGGAGTGTTGTAGCTTAGGTTTCCCAGGATAAAACGTACTACTGTTCAACGTTTGAGCACCCAAACAAAGAACCCGGCGAACTAGAGCACGACTTTGAACAGAGTAGGCTAAGAAAGAAGTAGAAGCAGAGATTTTGGAGCTGGAAAAATTATGATTTCTTGTGTTAAAATTCTGCTGCTCCTAATACTTATGCTTTACAACTGATATTAAATCAATCTTGTAACACCTGAAACAACAACCCCATTACTAGAGAATTAAATTCGAAATTTAAAATGGGAATTAATGGGCTTTTGGACAGGATTACTTTCGACCTCCAAGGCCGAACCACCATGGCCTGCACTGCTCTTGGCCAGGTCGAACCCAGTAGAAGCCTCGCTTTGTGTTGGAAAAATGATACTGAAAGTTGGCATAACTTATGCCCGCAAGGCCAACCAATTTCCAAACGACATTCGTGCCCGCGTACATGAGTCAAGCCTGAATCAAACACTTTTTGTTTCTCCTTGACTAAAGCATCAACCTTTCCCGTTTGTTTCTCCATGCGACCCATTCACGGACAGTCGTGTATGATCCCTAAGGCGGCTATGTTGTTTTCTTGTTCTTGGTGTCTCAGTTTAGGGGTTGGCAGTTCTCTAATTTCATCACACTCTGTTATCCCTTTCCCAATCTCATGAATGGTAATTCGAACACCTGGGAGAGGGGGGGGGGGGGGGGGGGCCAGATTTGGTGTCACTTACTATCCAATGAATGGTGCAACCAAGGCACCAATTCGCCTAATTGGCCAATTAGCTATTTTTCTAATTCTTTTCAATGGATTATTTTGCTCAAAATTACGATAGAGGCATTGGAGAAACCTCTCACAGTTGTATCGTGAAAAGCATAATAGACATAACGAAGCAGTAAAGTATAGAGAAGACAAGAAATACAGAGATATTCATCAATCTTTATTAATCACCGTTCAAGAACCTCACTAGAAAAACCAAGTAGGAAAAACCTAGTTGAAGAAAAGAGTACGTGAAATATGTGTGTTCACGTGTTGCACTAGCTGCCTCATTAA